TCCATCCATCCATCCATCCATCCATCCATCCATCCATCTATCTATCTATCTATCTATCTATCTATCTATCTATCTATCTATCTATCTATCTATCTATCTATCTATCTATCTATCTATCTTCCGTCTGCATCTGCAGAGCTTGGAAGTAATGCATTAGAATTATAATGCACTACCGTTTGGGGGTAATGACACTATTGTAACACGGTTAATTTTGGGGAAAGTTTGATGAGTAACATTTACTGCTAAACACCCTTTATTTATTTAAATATTTAAAATAATGTTAACCTGGCTTTCTCATTTAGGGCGACCCAAGGTGGTTTACATCATTAAAAGACAATCTTTAAAGCTAAAAAAAAGTTAAGTACACAAATCCTAAAAAAGATCAAACATTTAGGTTTTCTAAAACGCCATGTTACAATTGAATGATGGAATTCCTCCACTGGCAGGGGAGTGGGACTAGATGGTGGTTCCCCAGATTTGGTGTCCCCAGATGTTCTTGTACTACAACTATCAGAAATCCTGGCTAGCACAGCTAGTGGTGAAGGCTTCTGAGAGTTTTAGTCCAGGAACATCTGGGGACCCAAACTTGGGAGCTATTGGTCTAGATGAACCTTGGGATTTCCATGTAGTCCCCATGTTTTTGAATCTATTGCTTTTCAGGGGCTCTTTTAGAGGCTTTTTGACAATTATTGCATTTTAGAGTGCATTGTCTTTAATAGAATAAAAATAATTAAAACAATGCATTAGGAACACATTATTAGTAGGTTACGCTTTCAACAAGTAACATTAATGAGTTAATTTTGAAAATGCAATCAGCATCAAGCAATTCATTTCATATGCAGAACAACATGCCATTAAAACAACTCTGCTCTTGCTTTTCTATTAAGTGTCGCTATCTCAACGACAGACTGAGAAGTACCTTATCTTTCAAGCATTCAACCAGTTGCTATAAAATGTTTTAAGAAGGAATATCGGAGCCCTTCAACATGTTCACTGTTCACTTTGTCATTAAATTCCCAGCAGGCTCATGTCTATCCATCACTCCATACACCTTCCTGTTCCATGTTTAATCCAGCTTTCTCCTACACTATCTAAAGTAAAGGTATAATAAACAAAAAGGAGGCTTATATGGAAATAGAAGGACTCTTGAAGAGGGTTTTTTCCCCAAAAGCAATTAACATTTAGTCCAAACTACATATAAAGTACTGAAACATTCCCTTTTCCCAAGAAGCCTGTTTATATTTTTGCAAACTTTCTTGCAACTTTGTCATATAAGGCAGTGGTTCCCAACCTTGGGTCACCCAGGTGTTCTTGGACTACAATTCCCAGAAGCCTTCACCACCAGCTGTGCTGGCCAGGGTTTCTAGGAGTTGCAGTCCATCTGGGTTACCCTTGGTTGGGAACTACAGATCTACGGTAAGATTTAGGGACACAGACACTGCAGTAATACTGTTGGGAGTAAACAAAAGTGTGCAACATTACCACTAGCATGCCACAAAGTTTCTAATACCATGTTACCCTGAAAATAAGACAGGGACTTATATTAATTTTTGCTCCAAATAACATTAGGGCTTATTTTCAGGGGATGTTTTTTTTTTCATGTACAACACTCTACATATATTCAAATACAGTCATGTCATCTTCTTCTGGTTGCTGCACAAGGGTGGAAGGTGGGGTTTCACTTAACGGGGGCTTATTTTTGGGGTAGGGCTTATATTACGGACATCCTGAAAAATCCTACTAGGGCTTATTTTCAGGTTAGGCCTTATTTTCGGGAAAACAGGGCAGGGACTCAGGGCTTGGGATTTGGACCTTGGTACCAAAGATTTGGACCGGAGGCTCAGAGTCAAAGATATGCCAACATCCCTGCCATAAAGTCATTGATAGACCATTTAGGGCAGCTGTCCTTAGTAGGAGACAGTACCTCACACTTTCAGAAGGATACGGGCAATCAAGGGAAAGTGAATCCTTATTACTCTTATTTCAAGAGACGTTCAGCCTTACTCTCCATCTTTGGCTTCTGCCTCCTCTGTGACATCGTAAGGACCCCCATCATAGTCTTAGGTTTTTGGCCCTGAAATCTTGTTCAATTCTGCTGACCTGCCAACTGTATGCCGCAGAACCAATAAAGGCAGCACACCCGAAGACAGGCAGGCCAGAGGTAAGTAGACTGGTGGGTCCTTTGCCATATTCCAAAGCCAAACCATGTATGCTGTCACTAGTAAAAGCCTTGTTTGACCCATCGCTGGACTGTTGTGTGGCTATTTCACCCATCATCCTTTCCCCTTTGGCTGGTGAGTGAAAATAGCCTTACGTAACAAGGAAGCATCTGTGGGAGAAGGCATTATGTCATCTACCCAATTCCCAAACCACACAGCACTTTATAGGTCAAAACAAGCACTCTGAAATTCACCCTAAAAATAAATCGGAAGGCACTGCAAGTGAGGAAAGACGAGTTCAAAACAGGGTGTACAAGCTCATTTCATTCATAACACTAAGAACGTTTCATCCAGATTTTTCAATATGGTGCCTCTGCTAATAAAGAAATGGACATTCCCACTCATTTGCCTTCCCAAGAGAAGCCAAGCACAATTTTCCTTTTTTAATAATA